CCCCCACTCACAAATGAAATGCCTTTGATGTCTTCATTGAGAGTCGGGGGGGTGCAGAATGCAAAGTGTTTTGCATGTGTGCGCATTAGGTCTGCTGTTGTCTCGGCACTTCAGCTCTATTAATAGCCGCTCTAGAAGTGAAGGTTTCGAGGACAATCCCTCTCTTTTCACTGAAGGTGGGACAGAAGAAGACACAAACGGGGGAGATAGTGAGAGGGGGATAAAAAGAGCATGGAGGTCATAACYGACACGTTTGTGGAAAGACAACAATTTAACAAAAAAGAAAATCGTTACATCAAGTGTGATATGAGCTCGTTTCTGGGTCTAGTTGGACCCCCTGTACAGAATCTAAAGGTGCAGTCGTGGGGAGAGGGGTGGTAGATTTGGGACCCGCTGCGTTTCATCTGCTTTTTATGAATGATGTGGTTCTGTTTGCTTCTTCAAGCCATGACCTTCAAAACACCTTTATTTTGATACAAAACAAACAAAAAAAATCTCCCCACGTCACCTTTTCACTTTTTCATTTGGACATGTTTCATAATTGGTCTGCTGCACAATATTTATGGCAACTTTTGTGTAACTGGTGAATTTCAAATTGTGCTAACAATGACATCTGAAAGTGAAAACATGATGTCCTCCGGGTGTGGACCGGAGGACATCACGTTCAATGAGACAAGTCAAGAATATTCATGAGTTCATGATAGATGCGTCCCGGTTAAGACAARGTCAATGGCACCTTTTAATATCTTTATTCAACTTTTTTTAAGACTGAAAGACATTTAATCTGATTTTTCAATTTGTTGCATGATGTGTTGACTAGGGTTATCACGATACGATGTATCGATTTGTTTGGAGGACGATACRATGTTTCTCAATCACAAAACCTGTCGTGATAYGATTACGACTCAACTCACAAGTCTGCAAWTCTTATGATGCAACATCATATCGTTAGCCTCATAGCATAAATGCCTAAGTCATTTGTGACCAAATATGTCCTGGACAGTTATGCTATGAGGCTAATGATATGCTCATCTAATACAATGATTGTCTTAGACGGGCACATGACATTGATCCACATCAGGAATATGACGACAACATGGTTGATTGTTTTGTTTTGCCTTGATGTAATTGATCTATCCATGTTTTGATCGATGTGACTGATACACTTGTATTTACATACAACTAATGCTAAAACAAGACATTTCCCACTAAGCAGCTTCCTGCCTTGTAATTAAAGGAAACAATAATTTTTAAAGTTATTAAAGCTTCCTGAATCAAACACAAGAAACATTTTATTTTAATTTTTGAGCAGGCAGCTGTTTGGACAGTTTGACTCACTGTTTGTTGCAGGCAACAGTGCAACCACCAAATGGAAAATGTCCTTTATGGTAGATATATATACTGTAGATAAGAGCAGGGAGAGTGGGTTATAAGGGGGCGGTAGTGGCAGTAGTTTGTGTAGACACACTGAAGTGGATTACCATGCGTGTCTCGGGTCCTTTCATTTATCCTTGTTACACAGTGGTGATTAGGTGTGAAGTCTTCGAGGTGTCAGGGAACCGGGGAGTTTTGCGGGACGGCACCAAGGAGTTAACTCCCCACCGTTAATCCACTTATTGATCCCTTTACACAGCCCCAGCCACGGTCAATACCAGGCAATAAAACCCAACCCAGCAGCCTCCCGGGGGTATTGTGACATACACACACCCTCAGGTGAGATGTGTGTGTTTAGAGTGCGAGTGTGCCATCACAAATCAGTCAACTGGACAGCTCTCAGTGGCTGTCAAACAAGCTGTCCTCAGGAGACACTCAGGACATTCGAGACGACAAAACAATCAGGGAGCTGCGTGAACGATCGGGCAGCAGCTGAGGTGAGAGAGGTTGTAGGGCCGTGTTTAAACCATCATCACTCGTTCACACTCCGAGCATGAATCCACCGAGTGCAAACACACTTTCCCTCCTGGAACATCAGACACGTTACATTGCCATCTGCAGGCGGGCAAAGCAACGAGCAGTAACACCCACTGAATCTGAAAAAGGGGTTCTTACCCTTTAAACCCACAAGATTTTAGAAGATTTCCTTCAGTTCTCTTGTCGGCCCTGTACCGGGCCCAATAGGGCTTAAAAAAGTTGAAAGTGCTATGCAAAAGTCTTGAGTCATCTATTTCAATTATTTATTTTTGATTCCATTCATCCAGACGTCCTAAAAATCTTCAAAGAGATTTTCTAACATTCTAAAAGTCTTTCAAAAGATTTTCTTTGAACTTTATCTGCTTTTTTATTTATTACCTGTCCAGTACTTTACCATTTTCACATAAAATGTTTTTTTCTGTTTGTTTGTTTGTTTGTTTGTTTAGCCACACAACTCTGACAAAAACAATTCAGGTATAAGAAGGCTCATAGCTCAAGGGATGAACTAATGTTGAGGTTGTAGCATAACAGACAGCTTGGTGGAGAACCCACTTTTAGTTGGACCTTTAGGCACTTTGGTACAGAAAATCCTTCACAAAAACACAGTTGTTCACATTTTCTACTGATTCTATGAAGTTTATAGATATTTTAGCATCTTAAAAAAGCTTTAAAGCAGAAATCCCTGTCAGTTCATCGGTTATCAACTTAAATAATAATGCATGTCTCAGATCTTTTTTTTCTTAAATGGATGACTTTGTACACTGCTAGAGATTACTGAAGCCTGAGACTTTTTCTTTGGTCCTTCAGTTGTCCACTTTTCTGATCTTTAAGCATGAACTGCACGCTGTCATAGTCAGGTACAAGGACTGAACAGAAATGAAAAGTCA